ATGTGGCAAACACAAGTTTCCATCCCCCTTATCACATATAATAACCTTTGTAATCAATCATTTCTTTGAATATTTCTCTAATATTTCTCTAATATTTCTTGAATATTTTGAGGAATTCTTTGGTGAATATTTTTTGAATATTTTTTTGTACCAACCATCATCCCACTGGTTCCCTATGAAGATCACTCATTTAGTTTTCCTGGAAAAATTGTAGAAATCAAGATATGTGGCGAACACAAGTTTCCTTACCTCCTTATCACATATAATAATCTTTGTAATCAATCATTTCTTTCAATATTTCTCTAATATTTTGGTGAATATTTTGGTGAATACTTTGGTGAATATTTAGGTGAATATTATGGTGAATATTTTGGTGAATATTTTGGTGAATATTTTTTTTGACCAACCATCATCGCACTGGTTCCCTATGAAGATCACTCCTTTTGATTTCCCGGCAAAATTGTAGAAAGCAAGATATGTGGCAAACACAAGTTTCCATCCCCCTTATCGAATATAATAACCTTTGTAATCAATCATTTCTTTGAATATTTCTCTAATATTTCTTGAATATTTTGGTGAATATTTTGTTGAATTTGTTTTTGAATTTGTTTTGATTTTTTTTTTTGACCAACCATCATCCCACTGGTTCCCTATGAAGATCACTCCTTTTGTTTTCCTGGAAAAATTGTAGAAATCAAGATATGTGGCAAACACAAGTTTCCTTACCTCCTTATCACATATAAAAATCTTTGTAATCAATCATTTCTTTCAATATTTCTCTAATATTTCTTGAATATTTCTCTAATATTTCTTGAATATTTCTTGAATATTTTGGTGAATATTTTGGTGAATATTATGGTGAATATTTTGGTGAATATTTTGGTGAATATTTTTTTTGACCAACCATCATCCCACTTGTTCCCTATGATGATCACTCCTTTTGTTTTCCTGGCAAAATTATAGAAATCAAGATATGTGGCAAACACAAGTTTCCATCCCTCTTATCACATATAATAATCTTTGTAATCAATCATTCCTTTGAATATTTCTTGAATTCTTCGTGAATATTTTGGTGAATTTTTTGGTGAATTTTTTTTTGAATTTTTTTTGAAATTTTTTTTGGACCAACCATCATCCCACTGGTTCCCTATGAAGATCACTCCTTTTGTTTTCTTGGCAAAATTATAGAAATCAAGATATGTGGCAAACACAAGTTTCCATCCCCCTTATCACATATAATAACCTTTGTAATCAATCATTTCTTTGAATATTTCTCTAATATTTCTTGAATATTTTGGTGAATATTTTGGTGAATATTATGGTGAATATTTTGGTGAATATTTTATGAATATTTTTTTTGACCAACCATTATCACACTGGTTCCCTATGAAGATCAGTCCTTTTCTTTTCCTGGAAAAATTGTAGAAAGCAAGATATGTGGCAAACACAGGTTTCCTTCCCTCCTCATCACATATAATAATCTTTGTAATTAATCATTCCTTTGAATATTTCTTGAATTCTTCGTGAATATTTTGGTGAATTTTTTGGTGAATTCTTTTTTTGAATTCAAAAAAAAAAAAATTTGGACCAACCATCATCCCACTGGTTTCCTATGAAGATCACTCCTTTTGTTTTCCTGGCAAAATTATAGAAATCAAGATATGTGGCAAACACAAGTTTCCATCCCCCTTATCACATATAATAACCTTTGTAATCAATCATTTCTTTGAATATTTCTCTAATATTTCTCTAATATTTCTTGAATATTTCTTGAATATTTCGGTGAATATTTTGGTGAATATTTTTTTGAATATTTTATGAATATTTTTTTTGACCAACCATCATCCCACTGGTTCCCTATGAAGATCACTCCTTTTGTTTTCCTGGCAAAATCGTAAAAAGCAAGATATGTGGCAAACACAAGTTTCCATCCCTCTTATCACATATAATAATCTTTGTAATTAATCATTCCTTTGAATATTTCTTGAATATTTCTTGAATATTTTTTTGAATATTTTATGAATATTTTTTTTGACCAACCATCATCCCACTGGTTCCCTATGAAGATCACTCCTTTTGTTTCCTGGCAAAATTGTAGAAAGCAATATAAGTGGCAAACACAGGTTTCCTTCCCCCTTATCACATATAATATTCTTTGTAATCAATCATTCCTTTGAATATTTCTTGAATATTTTCATGAATATTTTCGTGAATATTTTTTTATTCTTTTTTTAAATATTTTTTTGAATATTCTTTGAATACTTTTTTTTCACCAACCATTATCCCAATCACAAGGAGAACAACTTAACCCAACATGTGCTGACACACGTTCACATTTAACTGGCTTTAAAACAAAGTGGAATGAAAAGTTAACAAGTCAAGAAATAAATCATTAAGAAATGTGATGTGAACATATTCTCAGTACTGACAGACTGAACCACGCCCGATTTGTGATAAAATAATTATGTTGAATATTTATAAATAATTATGTTATTTTCGGATCCTTTTCTTTTATGACTTCAAGTCAATTTTGATTTAACAACATTGTGATCAATACCAGATAGCAGCTGATCAATTTCACTACAGTACCCAGGGTGCATTGGGTGAAGAAGTGTTGCGGTGCATTGTGGGTAAACCTCCCTGTGTGTGTGTGCTCATGGGCATGGTCTCTATCTCTGCAAGGTGGTCAATGCAGTTCAACAAATGGACAGAGATGGCTGTTTGGGTTTAATTACGGTTGTGACTGTGGCTGTTGTTGTGTTTCTGTTTGTTGAGGGTCCAAAGTGGTTTCTGGTGCAACTTCACCTGCTTCCCAAGGAGCAAGGAGAAGGAACAACGTCTTTAGTGGTTTAAACTCCTGTGGAACTTGTATTGTGAACAAACAGATTTTCGCTGTCGTTTGTATTTGTAACTGGTGCCAGAACCACAAGAAAAGAAAAGAAAAGACCTTCAGCTCCAAGTAAGTGAGCACATGTGTTTTGCACAAAACCGTCAAGTTCATTTACACAGTAAATGGAAGCACATGTTGAAAGGGGCAACCGTGGCATGGAGTAGAGCGGTGCATTGGAAACCAAAGGGTTGTTGGTTTGAACCCCGGTTGCTCCATGTCCCATGTTGAAGTGTCTCTGAGCAAGACACCCTTAAGTGTAACCCTCAAGACAACCCCTAACTGCTCCCCGGGGCGCCTTCACGGCA